AACGAAAAGAAAAAAAAAACATTGCGGACCGGCCCACATTGGGTCAACGGCCCACCGGGACGATGCCCGGTATGCCAGATGGCCAGTCCACCCCTGTGTGTGTGTGTGTGTGTGTGTGTGTGTGTGTTTTAAAGGTACTCTTACTTTTCTTCACCATCTAGCAGCATTGCAACTACTCAGTGGATCGTTTGCTTTGAAAATATGGGTTGATCACATCTCTGCCTGTCTCATCTCTAATGATAAGTGTTGATTTTCACAGGTCTCTAGGGGAAAAGATATATCTTGTTGAAGGACGGGTTATGATTCCCAAGAACATCATTCATGAGAGCATTCCCTACAAATACTTGATTCGCAAGTGCAGTAAAAAAGACAACAAACCCATGTATGAGACAATCTACCAGAAAGATGGTAATGAATTGGTCAACAGGTGCCTGGCGATCAAAGAGGACCTTTTAACACATGAAGGTAATCTAACTTTACTTCCATACACTAAGACTAAACAGCAACTTCTATGTATGTTTATAGACTAGAGCCTGAACCAATACATAACCTGGGCAGGTATTGGACATTATCAGTTTACTGGAGACAGATTGGTATTGGCATATATTTCTTACCAATAATTAACAAGAAATTGCAGTACAGAAATGTCAAAAGATGCATTTTAGGTAATTTAGTCAACAGTGTTTTTCATTGTTCCAGTGGACTACAAGTGTGTTTGTAGGTCAGCAAGGTGATACTGAGATATAGGAAAGCTGCTGACATCCAAGTATTAAGATGCAGTTTATACAATGCTAGAAAGAGGGCTGGTGATTGAGGGATGGGCTTTTAAGACATATTTTAAATGTTTCTGTTTCTCTTTATCCAATCAGCTTTACATTATTGTAGTTTAAGTCTGCTAATATATTTATTTTTACCAAATTATAAACATGTTGTGTTTCTTGAATATGACATTTTGTTCTATAAAAAATTATATCAAGGAAATGATAATACAGTTTAATTTGGTTAAACGTCTCTGTTTGTTTGACAAAACTCTCAATCTAAACAGCAAAGAGGATTACATTTTCGTAAAATCAACAACAACAAAAACAAATTTCATCCCATATGGAGCAAGTCCAGGTGCATTACCCCTTTCATCTTGTTCTTTCTGACTTTCAAGGGGAGTGGCACCAGTATGATGATATGATCCATCCAGAAATGAAAAAGACTTTTTGGAGTTCTTCGCACAAAGACATTGTAGTGAAAGGCAGAGACCTGGCTGGCAGGGAGATGCTGAATATCATTTTCGACCTTCTTACAACTTGGAATGAACCAAATGTGAACAACTTCTTTTTACTGCTACAACAGTTCTTTTATACATACAGCCATCCTGTACTTCACTATGACAGAAAAAGGCCATGGGGACTACCATACAGTATTGAGCAGGTAACCCTTAAGGATATTGTTCTTGAAAAGTACATTTTTCCCTTGGACACAAATTGAATCGATTTCAGAAAGAATTCCCAATGAACTGTAGCTAGTGGACACTGGTTATTACTATCTTCCTTTACATTTTCTAGGTTGAAGTCCTTCTCAAAGGTGTTCTGGAGGAAAACATAAATTCCCAGCTCAGAAGGCAGAAACAAACAACAACATCCCTTTCACCGCTGCATACAGGAGTTGTTTCTTTGCTCCTTTACAGCAAGTATCTGAAAGATGACATGAAGAATCAACTATCTAAACTCTGCAATCTACTTTGCCTGCCCAATATGCAACAACACAAATTCTCCTCTTTCTGGAAAGAGTTTGAAATCCCTTTCGCCGATAAAAAAAGGTAACTTATATGCAATATATCATCATTATGACAATAAACATTATAATTCAGAAATATAAATGAATAAATATATAAGGAAGCATATGAAGTTTGCCTTAGCTTATTCACCTTGTAAACATAATTGCTCAGATGAGCTTGCCAGTTGGTCTCACACATGATTTAAAAATGTGATTTATCTTCAAGTCTAGCAGTTATAAAGTAGTACTTAGCCACAAACAACCCCTTCTAGGAATGAAAGGAAAATATAACAATAACAATAACAATAACAATGATAAGTCTCAAGCGTTATTGTGAGTTTTGTTTAAACATCACAAACATTTTGCACAATTTATTGGTAGAGGGCTTAAGACAGAAATATTGTATTGATGCAACAGGCAGAAATATTTATTAAATTAAAACTCAAATAAATGTTGTACAAGGGCCAGTTTGGCATTTATAACCCTTTGTCTTGTGTGTTTAAATGTTTTTGAATTAGTTGTTATAAGTTCTTTCAAATATAAAAACGACAATTGAATACATACACTTTCACACTATATATGGAACAGATCCCGATAATTGTACGTAGACTGAGTGCAAATGTAACCTAGTAATATACATAATGATATTATTTGCATTTATTATTATTTAATTCAAATATTAAAATACTGGTTTTCACTGGAAACATAATCAAACTAAACGTTATCTTCTAAACTGTAAAGAGTTGCAGATGCTGTTGAGATTCTTAGCAACAATGCTAGAAAACTCAATATTGACAAGTGGGTCTTGGTCATCCCTCTTATTCACCTACTGAGAGGAGAAAGCAAGCCATTTGAGCCGGCTCCAGCTGTCGTGAATCCACAGCTAGAGTCCTGGACAGGTTTGAGTGGGAGCAAGGGGACGCATTTCAACGGCGACAACTATGATAGGTAAGCACGTTTTTTTTTCTCATTTAGAACGAACCTTCCTGTTGTTCTCAGGTCAAATTTTTTTTTTTTATGTTTTTTTATTTTGCAATCACTTTCATTAGGTTTTAGCTTTTATTCCAATGTATAGCTATGTATACTATATGCTTTATAAATAGTCAAACCAGGAGGACAAACGTTGAAAGGAAGACAACCCAAGGGTTAAGCTTATCTAGGATTATCAAAAGATGTATTTTATCGCGGAACATTTAGAAAATTCTAGAGGATTATTTATTATGAGCACATCAGTGGCCCTGTTACAATTTGTTTACTGTTAATACCAACAAAAACAAACCAGTGGATATTTTTTTTCCTAGTATTTTAAAATTGTGGTGACATGGTCACCATCAAACAATTCTAATAACTCTTTCAAATAGGAGTGTTGTCCGGATCATGAAGGACTATGCATACCTGACAGACATTGATCGACTTCTCGTGCACTCTTGGATGCCTCTGCTGCGTGTGGATGATTTCACAAGCTTCATAAAAAGTGTGCAAGTGGAACTTCTAGACATTCTTCATTACATACAGTTCAGCATTACATCAGGGACAAGTTACATGAACTACAAGGTATGTTCCCCTTAATTGACCTTAATCAATTGCGAAATAGAATAAGTGTATATACTGTATATTAATATATATATATATATATATGTACAGTCTTCAAATTATGTGTGTTCTATTATTTGGGTTACTACAGGCTTTGAAAGATCTACTATCTCATCTCAACAAAGAAAGCCATCTCATTAAAAGGTAAAAAACCTTATGTAATACAGTATCTCTGCCGCAATGTCTAGATATAACAACACCCTTTATGCATACACAACAATGATAAGAAATCTTTTTCCCCCAGTTTTGATAACAAGTATGGAGAATGTTGCCTAAAAACAGCAGTCCGGCTTCTTGGTTCTGTGTGCCATCTCACCACAGATACAGAAAACTGGGAAGTTCCAATTTACTTCCTTGATCTGGTCTGTCTGATTGCCAAGGCATACGACCACACCGATTCCCAGGTGAGACTCACCAGTCAGTCTGCCTGACAGAGCACACTTTTATGTAACTGTACCAAACCATAGTTAAGCTTTGAAATACCTTGCTCAGCTCAAATATATATATAGATTAATGTAGATTAGTTTTGTACATTAATAGTTGTTTTTCTTCTACAAAACATTTGTTGTTTCTTATAAAAGCAAGGTAGATAGCAAATCTAAAATGACTGGCTAAGGTTTTATGTTTAAATGCAACCAGAACTTTTATTTGAATGCAGCATAAAATCAAAGCATATATCTGTAATAACTCCTAACTACTGTTCCAGGCAAGAGCGCAAATACATGAAGAGTTTATCATGGAGACATTACGAACTATGAGGGAATGGCGAAGAAATACTTTCAGAAACAAACTGCTAAATGAATGGACTCCTTTGCAGTTTTCTGTACCCCATGAAATCACGGTAAGCAGAAATGTGGGATAATGTTTATGCTTGGGCTGGGCTTAAGACAATGAATAAGATTTGATAGGCAATGTTTATATCATGTTTTTTTTGCAGTGTAAGTTTAGACTCTACTTTACCATGTGGATTTACCAGAAACATGCTTTATTGTGATATACTGTATATCTAATCAAGATATTAGTATATGACAAAAAGTTGTCTGCAGTATTTTTTGATTAACCTGACCTATTCAAATCTATATGTGTCTCTTTATAGGTATGGAAAAAGTTACTCTCACTATCCTTCAGTCACGAGGAACACACCTCTTTCTGGAGAACCACTTTCACGGAGGATTTTGAAGGCAAACTAAAACGAGTAAGACTGGATTTGTGTTTCTGTTTCTTTATACTTTAAAGATCTTGGATTTAGATTTTTAAATGTTCACATTTAAGAGACAAAAACAAAACTGAAAAGGTATGCTTGTGTGCTAGGAACAACCAGTTGATCAAATTGGAATATACTCCAAAAAGATGGAAGAACTAAGCAAAACAAGTCCATTGTTAGGCATCACAATGGAGAAATGTGCATTGGATGCGGTTGCTGCTATTTGTCAGGTATGATTTTATTAAGTTGTTAATGCTCTGTTATATAATATAATAAAGGCCAAGGTTTTATGTCTTTTGTTTTATTCATAAACAGTGAATAAGGATGAATTGACAATTTGAGTTTTTTTAAACCAATTATTACTACTACAAGACTAATTATGAATACCTGTAATAAATGACTCCTGAAGACATAACCTTGGGAGAGGAGAAAACTATTTGATCTTGATCATAAATAATATCACACATTGCTCCTGAATTAATGCATTCATTCTATTTTTACACCCTACTTTTACACCCCGCCATCTTTTAAACAAAACATGAAATGACAACTAATTTAATTTGCATACAATGACCAGTGTGTGGTGCCTTGTTTCTTTTTAGGATAAATCTGGCAAAGCTGTTTCAGCTCTAATTGAGAAACATGATATCAGAAAGTTTGGGAAGCTGATGTCTGTAGTTGTACTGAAGACATGGCCCACAGATGTGAATGGAGAATACATTGAAGGCGAGGACTTGATATTTGAGTATCTTGTTAATAACCCGATGGCCCAAACAGTCTTTCAAATGACAGGTAAATAGTTTTCTATACGTGTAAAAAATATGTGGAAATGTTTTGTTTTGGTATGTGTGTGTGTCTGTGTGTGTGTGTGTGTGTGTGTGTGTGTGTGTGTGTGTGTGTGTGTGTGTGTGTAATTCGTTAAAAAATTCATGACTGGCTGGCAGTTGGTTGTTTTGATCATACTATAGGTCATCCTATGTAATTATTTTGTCATAGCACAATGTTTGTTATTAACTGTTGTAGTTTATACATGCTTGATTTACAGGTGTAGGAGGAAGACTGATCGACCAATTTTCAAATGAAGTGCAAATCAGGATGACTTTGGCTAGTTCAGCATTCAAATCTGTGTCACAGAAGTTCCTCAGTGGCGAGATCCAAATGAAAACTTTAGACCAAATCCTCCAGAAAGAACATGAATTTGTTGGCTTGCTGAAGTTAGGTTAGTAAGAATATCTGTCTATTTCAGCTGCTCTTACTCTTTACCTTTCTTCCCTTGACTCGTTCTTCTCCATTCCATTTTGCTTCTAATTCTTCTTCTGTTTTACATCCTCAAAGTATGATGCACATTTTTATCAGTTTAATACTTGTATTTTTGGGTTTATACCACAACCTGTTTATATGCTTTAGTGTTCAAAACACAAAATGTCTGCTTTTGTAAATGGGTCATTCTACAGAAAAGGTGGAATCTGGGTGATACAAATCTGCTGAAATATATTCCTTCTAAACACATCTAAAACCTGTTAAATAGTAATAACTAACTCTTAACTTGATGAATCCACAACAAGTAGAGCTTAAATTATTTGTATTATTTTTATACATTATACAAAGCTTATTTTGTATAGGAATGTCACTGGTGTTACGTGTTACCAGGAAGAAGAGTAACACCAGTGACAATTTGGAGAAAACACTACCATTTTAACAAAATGGCTGCAATGTGTCAGACCAAATATGGCTTCAGTCAATATCAAAATTGTTTAACTCTTCAATACAATACATTTTCCCATTCAAATGTTCACCCCTAGGGCTATGCACTTATATTTTTAATGACAGACTTGAAAGACGCACGTACAATTTGAAGATAAAAGGACACCTTTAACAAACAAAGTAAGAAGTATCTGACTTTCCTTATGTCTTTGTGCACTGCACTGCCTCAAATGATCTCGTTACAGGAGGCACTTCAGAGACAGTACATTACTTCAAAAATAAAAGCGTTTTGTGTAGCAGTAACACCAATGGCGTCATTTTGGGTGACTGACATTTATTTGATATTATTAATAATATTATTAATTAATATTTTTTTACCATTTCAGTGTTATATTTAATGCTTGTAATGTTATGTAAATATAAATTAGATTTATTTATTGAAAAAAAATCTTTTTAAATGAAAACTATAGTCTCCACTTCCATGTATGATCAAAGTGACAAGGCAGTTACTTGAACTTGGCATTTTAAATAAATTGCAATTTATGTATAAAACCATTTTTTATTTATTTTTTATTTAGTACCATTGCAAAGACAATCTCTATTTATTCAACATATATAATGAATGTGAGTATTAGGTCAACGTCATGTATTTTGGTGTCTGCAAAAGTAAGTGACAGTACTTCCACCTTTTGTGTAGAATGACCCAAATGTCTCTTTGAGCCCCTCTACTGAAAAGCCCATTCTGCTCCGGTTGGCTTACTGGAACAATATACAGCAACCTTTGAAAAGTTATTTCTTAAGCTGTTAGTGGAGATCCCAAGAACATGGAAAAAAGATGGTAGACACATTGGATTAACACTAAAACATGTAGGTGTCATTACCCATTTGAGAATAGGACACACTGTAATAAAATGGAAAATGTTTAACATGTTTAATGAAAACATTGGATTAAAGTTTATGAAAAATACAGTGTTACATGCGGAGATTTGCTAGAAAAAACAGGAAGAGAAACTACAATATTTCCATTATATTAAGAACAACCAGAATAATTGAGAGAATTAAGTTGTGCTTTTTATTCTTTTTTTTTGCTTTAAATCCGCTACATGTATTTAATTATTTTAGTTACTTTGCAGATTTTGATTAATGATGTGAAATATAAACAACCCCTTAAAAAGGACTTTAGTTACACCTGGAGTAAATTCACAAGCTACCCTGCAGTATGTAAAGTCATTCAAACTAGCTGCACCTTTACCATCTTTGATAACACTTTAATGATCAATAATTATAATCAAAACATGTAACATATATTATTCTGAATCTGCACAATGACTACTTTTATTTTTGGTACTTTATGTATTTTGAATGCCATACTTTTACTTGTAACGTATTCATACACTCTGGTACTTCTACTTTTGCTAAAGTACACAATCTGATTACTTCTCCAACCTCTGGTGATAACAGTTTGAAGATGGAACAGTAGCGGTTAGGACTGTTACACTTTAAAAAGGAGAAAGCACATTCACATCTTTGTTCTGGTCGTCTGGATACTTGCAAGATTTTCATTATTTTAAGGATAAAACTCTATGCTTCAATCTCTGATCGTCTGCAGTTCATTTTGTGAACCTGATGATACTCCAAGCACTACAGGACAGCTGTTATGAGCGTTCAGAAAATCAATGCGCATCCACATCAGTGATCTAATATCGTCCGTTTATTTTAAGAAAACTGAGAAAATAGTAAACAAAAACTCTAAACTCTTAAACAAAAGATTAGAAGCCCATAAGACGTATTACGGGTAGCTTGTATCATGCAGAGTTCACCATGAGGTTTCTATTATGCGGTGGAAAATTGTTTGCCCTTCCACTCATAGTGAGCACATGTTCACCTGTCCTAAATTAAAGGGCCGAAGCACGCCTATGTGACGTCACTATAAATAATCGATAGTCAACATCAACTCAAAGAATAATAAACATCAACACAGGGAAATTCACGACACCTCTGCATAATAAAATAACACTTCATACAAAACAATCATAATATTTAATTATAAATATAAATAAGGTGCAAATTGGCTTCACGACAGCTGAAGATTAAAATGTTGTTGAAGAGGTTCGTGTTCATATTCTACGCCAAGCATGGACCTTTTTTTATATACAACATTACTCAAGAGGCGCGTTCACACCCGAGTACTTTTCCCCATACTTTTCTAATTTAGTTCCGTTAGTACCCCTTATGTCGCGTTCACACCAAAAAGAGTCCTTAGTGCCGGGAACTTTTACCCCCGTTTTTAGCGCCTGCTAGAGAGGTGGTACCAACAAAGTACCAAAAAAGTACCTATTTCTATTGGCTGGGCGAATTGCAAACCAGTTTTTTGAAGCCACCATGGTATTTGCTGGCATTAGCATTATTAGCATTAGCATTAGCCACGTGCACCAACGGAGAGAGAATAACTTATGGCAACACAAAAAAAAACATGGGAGTAGTGGAGTGATGAGGAGGTGTCATCGTTCTGGCGATTTACTCGGAAGGCTTCAGTAGAAACTGCTGGGAGTCCCTGCAGCTTCTACTGAAGCCAGTCCCCAACTCCGGGGACTTCCGGCCGGGGACTTCAGATGGCAGTATACGCCGTGAAGTTGTTTGCGGCCTGCCAGTAAACCCAAAGCAGAAGAAGACGAAGTGACGTCAGCGGATCATTTGCGTAATCTTCCCCCAGGGAAAAGTACTCCGGTGTGAACGTGATTGGTACTTAGTGCCCGGGGTACTAAGTGCCGGGGGGGTGCCAATTACCGCAAAGTACTTGGTGTGAAAGCGGCTAATGTATAAAAGACCACATTTTTCTACTTTATCTTGCTCTGCTCTCCGAATTTTAGAATGTTTACTCTCACTTATTCAGATTCTTAAAACTCCACCACGACATCTGCCCTCAGTTTATTCTTATGCTTTTGTTCATATAACTATGTTCCTCTAGATGCGCTCTGTGATGATGGTCGTTGTAAAGATGGCAGCAACATGAGAAGATTACTGAAAATAAGAAAAGAGGAAGCAGAAGCTGTCCACAACGAGAAGGATCTTGTCAAGAGTCTTTTACAAATCTGCCAGGAGCTTCCACAACATGTCAAAAGTAGGTAACATTTGTGTGTAATTTCAAAGTGGGAAACATTTTTTTTATTTGCTTGTCAATCTTACGATGATGGTGTTCAGTCAGTTTGGTCATTGGTTTATGGTTAGCATAGAAAAGCTTCTAATAAACTTGCCTTGCTTGGGGGTTGTTTTAACCACATGGGAAAACTACAGGTGCTTTATTTTAGCTCTGTGGTTCCTCTGCAGTGGCTGCTAGCACCTATTCTGTATAAAAAGGTGATAAGCCCAGTTGATCTGACATGGCTTTAGTAGCAAGTTGCTACACAATAGGCTCTTTCACACCGGAGTACTTTTCCCAGGAATAGTCCCGATAGTTATTGGGATTTTGCGTTCACACCAAAAAGATCTGGAACTAGAACCTAGTTTTTGCGAACCTTTTCACCCCCAGATAGTCTCTGCTAGAGAGCAGGGACTTTCCTGTGGAGAAAAAGGTTCCAATTTCTGATTGGCTGGGCAAATTGCAAACCACGCCCCGTAAAACTCAGAAAAGTGATTTACTCTGAAGGCTTCAGTAGAACCTGCTGGGAAGACTCCCAGCTGCTTCTACTGAACCCAGTCCCTCCGGTGGAATCCGGGACTTCAGGTGGCAGTATACGCCGCAAAGTTGTTTGCGGCCTGCCAGTAAACCCAAAGCAGAAGAAGAAGAAGTGACGTCAGCAGCTTCATTCGCGTAAGCCTCTCTCAGGAACTTATTCCGGTGTGAACGCGATCTACTAGGACAGTTCCGGGACTAAAGAGTTCGGGGGGACTAAGTACTGGGAACTAAGTACGGCAAAGTACTTAGACGCTTTCACACTGGAGTACTTTTACCCGTACTTTTTCCGTTTAGTTCCGTTAGTGCCTGGAATTTTGCATTCACACCAAAAAGAGAACTTAGTTCAGAGAACTTTTACCCACATTTTTAGAGCCTGCTAGAGAGGTGAGACTATCCTGGTGAGAAAAAAGTACCAATTTCTGATTGGCTGGGCGAATTGCAAACCACGCCCCGTAAAACTCTGAAAAGTTTTTTGAAGCCGCCATTGTATTTGCTGGCATTAGCATTATTAGCATTAGCCCCGCGCAACAACGGAGAGAGAATAACTTATGGCAACACAAAAAAAACCATGGGAGCGGTGGAGTGATGAGGAGGTGTCGGCGTTCTGGCGATTTACTCGGTGTGGTATTCTGTATACTGTACTCTGAACTTCCGGCCGGGGACTTCGGGTGGCAGTCTACGCCGTGAAGTTGTTTGCGGCCTGCCAGTAAACAAAAAGCAGAAGAAGAAGTAACCCAGTGGTTTCATTTGCGTAATCTTCCCTCAGGGAACTTATTCCGGTGTGAACGCTATCGGCTCTTAGTTCCATGGGGGTACTAAGAGCTGGGAACTAAGTACGGCAAAGTACTTGTGCAAAGACAATCTCTATTTATTCAACATATATAATGAATGTGAGCATTAGGTCAACGTCATGTATTTTGG